GCATTATGAAGAAGCATTTAATCCAGAATTAGGAGGTAGAGGTTGTCCCAGTGACAATGGCTAAGCAAAACTGCATCCTGTGAGAGGCACAGGCCACCCACCCAGAATGCACTGGGATCTTTTGATATGGGCAGAAACAACATGACCAGTTTGGATCCACCCACAAAGTACTATATATCAGCCCCCTTAAGTTGACCCCCCCACAAACAGCACAAATTATGAAACCCCATTAATTCGTTAGTGCTGCGTTTGTGCAGGTTTGTGCCGTTTAAAGTAGCGTGACTATCTACAAGGAAGTTTACAGGTGTAAGAGCCATGTGATGTTTTAATTTGGTTATATACGTTTAAAAACAATCCTGTAAATATGTTGATGTTCTACTATTTGAAAACCACATTGTGTTGTTTACTGAAATTGCGCATACTGTATGCCTTTAAGACTGTCAATCGCTGATGTTGATTAATGTAAATTCTAGATGATTTAGTTTTCAAAAGCCAGAGAGGAAATTTGAGTGCAACAGTTCTGACGTGCTTGTGTAGGTGCGTTTTTAGTTTAAATGAGCTTTAGGAATAGTCTTGGTATTGTGGAAAACGTCTCCTTTTTTGTTTGACGAAAACGAAGTGAATGTGAATAAAACGCGTTTCATTTTTAAACCTGGCGACGTTTATTGTGGAGTCTACACGGACAACGTCAGCCATAAGCTCGCCTTTCTTACGGTGGAATTCGGATACTACAACAGGTATCAACGAAACTCGGTACTTTAACTCCCGAATGTGATGAAAACAATGGGTGCAATTTGTTCTCTGAGTCTGTCTGGCCGGGTGGGGTGGGTGTTTAAATATTTTTCATTATGTTTTTCTGGCTTGATATCACTCTGAGACGTACAACAACAGCAAGGTCAGGACCACCAAATCTTTCAGTTGTGATCTTTTGATGGTTTGACCCCAGCCTTTGTAATTTCACATCTTTATGGTCGCGGAACAAAACAGAGCTTTAATCCTTTACGTTTCCTTGAACACTGTAACACACCAGATGATGCAATTTTATAATCAACTCTTTACTTACTAATATGCTGTGTTTTGTAACCGTATAGCTTAATAAGCATTATAACAAAACTTTTCGCTTTGGATTTTATTGGATTCTATAGCAATACACACAGTTTACTGGATATATTGTAAAATGTCATTATCTAAACAGTTAAGGTGATCTTTACAACACAGAGGCAGCAAATGAACAGTTTAGCTCGTACCCTTAACATTTTAAAGACAATAAATATCCATAAACATATGAGCCTCCTTAGATGTGAATAATACTTAAGTCATGACGAGTGCCAACAAGTTAACCATCTATGACATAAAACTGTGGTTGTAATGTATGTAAAATCACTGTGATTGTAAGATCTGTTTTTTTTTATTTTCTAAGGCACGTTTTCCTTATCTTTCCCTATCATGACACGCTGTTGTCAAATGCGTGACTATGGGATACCATCGCGACAAGTCCTTCACAGCATGTCATGATAGGGACCGCATATATATTGCAGCAGTGCAACAACAGGGGCGTGACTATCGCTACTAGTACTATCACGACAGGCGCCTTGCTTCCACAGCACCCTGGCACCACTGTAGCAAAAAAGAGGTCATAATATCATGACATGATTTACACAGGACTTTGTGTCAGGACATGGCACATCTTGTCAGGGTATGTCATATCGCGAAATATGGACGTCCTGACGTGACACGGGCCCAGGGCGTTTTGTCGGGATATGCCGTATCGCAATATACGGAGTTCATGTCGGGATATGCCATATCACGATATACGGACTTAATGTCAGGACATAGGTGCAGGGCGTTTTGTCGGGATATGCCATATCATGATATGTGGATTTCATGTCGCGACATAGGGGCGGGGCGTTTTGTCGGGATATGCTGTATCGCGATACATGGACTTCATGTCGCGACAGTGGCGCCAGCGCAGCTGATAATAACGCGGCTGTTATTGTGATGTGATCATGATGCGCGCCCCCTATTGTGACACGCTGAATCATGAAAGCGCTGTGGATGCCATGATGTTCTTTGTCTGCTATTCAGTTTTGAGCTCTGTGTGACTTCTCTTAGATTGATCAGTTATTCGAAACCAATGGATGCGTTACTGTATATGCAGGACACACGGTTAGTATTTGACAGTATTTGGACCAAGAAGAACATCCATCACCATTGTATCTACATGTTTTCGGAACTTCCGCGGTGGCGCTTTACCCAATCAGAGTGTTGCTAATCGTTTCACCCAATCGTGGCCCGAACTGTTCACCAAGATTCAGGCCGGGGGCCAATCACGGCTCTGAGAGCTGTAGGCTATCAGCGCCAGGTGGACCGATTGTTTACTGTTTCCTGCCGCTCCTGCCCTGCCAGTTTGTCCCTCCCGTCACACAACAGGGAACTTGCAAGCTGTGCAAAAGGAGAAACTCCCTCAGCCCGGGCTGCTGAGATCCGTGTTATACGCAGGGTGTATTCGTTACACTGTCAATGATAATCTATTTTTAAATGCCTTATTTATTTGCAAAATAACTACATCGGCTTATTTTTTATTTTAACGTCTTTATTGATTCACAATGTCCCATATTATTCGAAATAAATACATTTTTTATTTGCAATATAACTGTCTCCGCTGTTTTCTATAATGAATACATTGTATTTGAACATTTTTAATCGTATATTTAAGGTAAGGGAAATACCTTCTGCTTTGTACTTCAAAAATGAATAGAAATGTAAAGCCTATAATCATTATATTATTATGCTTGTGCTCTCGTGTTGTACCAGCGGTAATTTGGTCCTGGTGTTGTTGGGATACAGCAACGGTGTCTCTTCACCAATAAAAGGAGTACACAAGCAATACGTTTTTGCGATTTTTTTCGTTAAAAATTAAGAGAAAACAA